CAACATTTTTTTTCATGAATCATGTAGTCAGCATTTTAGATTTTTATGCCTTATTAAAACATATCTTGAATCTTACCCTTGTATAATAGCATAGGCTTGACACACCTGAATAACTCAGTGTAATTTAGGCTGGTACCTAAAGCCTACGGGCAATAATGGAACTAGAAACCAGTCAACAAAATATCGGTAGAGGACAATCAAACGGTAATGCTTTGGAGGAGTTTATAGATAATAACTGACAGAAAAAAAATCCTCTTTACTATATAAACAAATTTGATAAATCCATAAGGATTGTAGGAAAGGTGAATGCATATATATATATATGTGTGTATTATTTTTAACGAAGGTCAGAAGAAACACTATTATTGGTATGATGTTGAAGGAGGTAGTTGCAAGTCAAATAAAATGAAGCAGTATTTAGTACACATCTGGAACTTGTTTTCCTGAGAGGTTGTACTGTCTGAAAGTATAAATAGGATCAACAAAGGCTTAGGTAAATCCATGGATGACAGATATGCAGTTGGGTACGAAGGCCAAGTGCAGGGCATGCTTTCAGCCTTGGTGTAATGAAAGGTCACTATCGAAGTCTCCACTCAGCACTTTTGCTGTCAAAGGAGAAGGCAGAACATTAGGTGGATTAACCACAAATTTGCCCTTATGTAGCATTTCATAACCTCCTATGTCCTCCCTCAACATGGACTAGAAACATGTGGGCTTAAAATTGAACATACTCAGTCTTCCTTTAGTTTTTAGTATTTATGGAAATCTGTTATTTTCTTAGAATATACAAGTATAAATACTTATGGGGGCTTTTCATAACAATAATTATCATTTTAGAAGTTAGAGACATTAATATAGCTAACTATTTCTCTCTAGAAGTGTTTAAAGCACCATTCTTTTTGTAGTTTACTTCTCCCTTTAGGAATGATGAAGAAAAACATTTTGTAAAATGACACTTGTAAATGACTTTCATGATTTCTTTTTTATTACAAAGTTATTTTCAGGGTACTAACATTTGCTTTGGTTTGAGAAATTTGATTTTGTCAAGGC